TTTGTAGTGCCTCCCCCACTCCTCTCCCCTTCCTTTTGACCGTTGCTCACCCCTTTGGTACATATTTCTTTCTCTAACCAGCCTTACGCTACCGTTAAAAGATGGCAGCTATACTTTTTATCAAGGAAATACTCGCTCGACAAAATTATGCCTGCTCTGCAGGCTACCTAAAAACTTTCCCCTATTTCTTCCATGAATGGATCTTTTAAACAACAATTATAACAGATGATCTGAGCTTTTCGCAGTAATTCAGAACTAAACGTCTTTTATTTATCTTAACATGCTAATTTTGGGAAAAAGACCGTGCAAAACTCCCGTTTTGCACTCTATCATCTATTTTTGCGTTGTTCATTGGCCAATCCTTTAGTAAACAAAGGTTAGTCACGCAAGTTTTATCTACCTATGGCGTGACGCGCAATAGATACGTCATAGGTTCAGAAAGCATATTGTATATAACACATCCCAACCAAATGTTTTTTACATAAGCAAATCTTGTTCAAAATATTATATTTTGACTACAGATACGTATAAACATACACAATGTTATTTCAAGGGCAAAATCGGAGGCATTTACCTTCAAGAATCGGGTCAGGCAAGTCATGCGCTGGCAGATGACCAATAATGATCTCTAGCAGCATGGCTCCGAACGAAAATATGTCGATTTTCTCGGTGTATCTCGCTTTATCGCCCTTCGGTAGTCCTCCCAACCCCGTGGGATAAGTTTCTGGAGCGGCATACACGGGTGTTCCCGGTATGGCAGTCGCGTACATTGCACCACGAGGGAACGCTTTCGCCTGACCCAAATCTGCAATCTTTGCATGCAATGTTTTCGTCAGCAATACGTTTTTGCTCGCTAAGTCGCGATGTACAATCGGTTCCTTAAGGGTATGAATGTAATGTAAAGCTTCCGCGACGTCCAGCATAATTTTGATTACGTCTGAGAAAGGAACCTTTGGTTTAGTCGTTGAGTTCCGAATGTGTTTCGCCAAATCGCACTCTAGCAACTCTGTCACAATAATGGGACTCTCGGGAGACGGTGGGACAATGGCAGTGAAATATTTCACAATATTGTCGTGATCAATGCTGCGGAGTATCTCCCATTCCTTCTTAAACTTTTCCAAGAAAGCGGCTCTAATACTTCCATCATAGTCCCCCTCGAAGAAGACAGGTCGAATCCGTTTGGCAGCTACTCGCTTCCCGTTCCACACGGCTTTGAACACTTCACCATATGAACCTTCTCCAATTTTATCTCCGAGTTTAATTTCCTCGGCGGAGGATGTGTTTCCCATGTCGTTGCAGCAACAGTAAAATTATTTATTTGGAACTGATCGGGTTAAACGAACTGTTTTCGTCTTTGGAAACCCGGAAGTGCGGCCGGGCGAGGCCTGGAGCAAACCCAAGCCTCACGCGGCCAAAATGTAAAGCTCATCGAATAAATCATTCCCTCTGATCGCTTAAAATCTGCAATTTTTACGATGATTGAGTTTGGAGCTTCTAGGTGTTTTGTCCCACACGTTCCAAAATATTTGACCATGGTGAAACACTCAACACTTCCATTAGAATGGGCTCGTGTAATAGGAATATCAGGAGCCATTAGTGGGTCCTGGCACATATATTTTCGCAAACGAATAAAGGGGATAAGCCTCCAAGGAAACCGTGGTGCTCCGTCTGTGGGGGAGTGAAACAAGATAATTTGAGTTGATAATGTAAAGAGGCTACCAAAAAGTTTCAAAGCTGACGTTTCGGGCGGTGGCCAAGTTACATTATCAACTCAGTTGATAAAACCAAAATTATCTTAATATATTTTATATTTAGTATATAAAACTCTCTTCTTAAAATGCTTTTCTCTGGTAGCAGGGGTGGTTTTGTACCGCCTTAGGCATTGCTCAGCCCTTTTCCCGGTTTGTCGGGACTATTTGCAAAATCAAACAAGAGTTATTATAGTTGAGAGGTTAGGAAAGCCGAAAAAAATCAAAGGTAAAAACGATTTTTCAGAGTTTAGGTTAAGGGCTTCCTGACTGAACTCAATCTTTTGTCAAGTGGAAATTCAAATATTGGCAATCACAATTTTGGACAGGCGTTGTAACAATTCCGTTCCCAGGGTTCACCCTCGT